TACTTTTATATAGGCAATATCTTTAGCATCACTGATAAAAGTTTTACCTGGTAATATTTAGCCATGCCTTGAATCATGGCACAGTACGCTTCTGGTGTCTTCGGATCCATTGATTCAAAGATCTGATCAGCTAGTCCACCGAGCCTGGAAATGATAACATAACAGTGTTATACTCATATCATAGACTAGACTTCATCTCATCATCTTCATCTCTAAAGAACTTGAAGAGAATAATAAAGTTTATTCTATTCAAATATCTACGTAACATAACATTATATCCCGAGAGGGTAGGCAGAGGTGCACATTACTGCACTTAAAGCCACTGTGGAATGTAACACCCACTTTTCACTATGTACCTATGTTATGAGTCGCATGTAATAGGGGGTGAGCCTATTGCCATATACCGGGCACAATTCCAGGCTTTGTGTTACTACTGAGAAATTTTTAAAAACTGTAATACTTTGCCCTACCCAGGAATCAATCCCGAGACCTCAGCCAATGAAGCAGTCAAATATTAAATATCTATATCTTTTTAGATAATATAGAATAATTCAATAACACCATCATTATTTTACCTCCAAGTAGCAGCCTGTCTCTCTCGCATATTGGCAGAGAACCACCTCTCTTCAAGCCACTCCATAGAGTCTGGTTCCTTCTCATTGTAGAAGCACAATAACTGTAGAAATTGCAGCTTTAACTCCTCATTGACACTACTTACACCTCCAAGTAGTTTGAATACCGTCATTGAGTCTTCTATTAAAGCATTCTGTATTGTGTATTTCAAATCATCTTCTGTAACCTGAAAAATTAAATAGTATTTTATTTTTATTTTGAAAATTGGCCATAAAAGGATTTTTTCTCCATGAAACCAGTATTTCTTATGACTGGACTGTGAAACTGAGGCTGAAAAGTTTAGTCTGTAAAAAGGCTGTCTGATGAACACATAGGAACATAAAATAAGTCTTTTCTTTGGATATTCTTATTAGAATTTTATGTGGAGATAAGTTTAACGGACCTATATAGTAAATTTAAGGGTATGTGTTATTCATAACAAAGATATGATTATTGAACAGTACAGTAATAGTACCTACAGGCATTCTTTAATAATTAAAATAAAATATTTACAGTTCAATTTAATTACCTTGCTTTCATCATTATAGATAGGTTTGGGAGCAAATGCTTCTATTTTAGGATCAGCATTGAAATATGGTGTCTTTATCTTTGTTGGTGGATCCCACACCCTTGTAGTGAATAGCTCGGCATGCTCATCCCTGATCCATGCTGCAGCTTTGCGACCAGCCTCAGCTGACAGTGCATAGGCTCTCTTTCGGAAGTTGGACAGAGGTATTAAATAGGGATCATCGTGATATCTGTAACATTTAAAGTTGTTTTTTAGTATGATATGGGAAACAAATAAATAGATCTTACTAGAATTCGATATTTTTTTTAAAAATTCTTTTTTTTTAATTATAGGAAATAGATATTACTTATAGTGAGCCGCAGTTGGGTCATTTCCGACGGTGGCTGCTAGAGCCTGCAGAATGTCTGTGGGTCCTCTAGGAATGCGAGGAGGAGGTGAAATACCATCACTGGATTTAGAGGTCTGAGGGAGTTTTTGACCCTCTATAGTTGTTAATGACCGGCAAAGACAGGCAAGTCTTGTCCATTGTCTGTAAATATAGTAAATAAATGCGTTTCATTACATAAAGTTATAAATTACGGACAATTTATAACCTCAAAGAGAAGTGTTTACCTCGGAACAACGACGTTCGAATACATTGGTTTTAAATAAAACTTTGATTATTCACTATAAATAAATCGCTTTAATTTAGTTACAAGGCTATGTACAATTTAGTAATGAAAATATTTTAGCATTTCAGTACACATAACCTCAATACTTCAGCTGTCAGTGTCATTGATTGATCCTTTGACAGCATTTTGTTATGACATTTCTTTTGAACTTGCCATTCCCATTAAACTTCCACCAAGTTACCATACTCAAAAATAATTACAATATGAAATATGAAACTTGCACGAAACGGCGATGATTTCTATTTTAAGCTAAATATTTTGTACCTAATTCGTACCTACTTAATTTTCCTACATCGACTGTTATTTAAAGTCAAATAAGTCTGTTAAAAAGAACTTTTTACCGGTAGTCCACTGTCCACTGCCTTTGCTTTTGTCGATCGATGAGTCGCAGGTGCGAATGCTCAAGAAGGGTCTAGGGATCGATTTCCGGGTTAGACAAAGCAGGATTATGATTTTTCGCCTTTTCAAAAATTCCTCAGTATAGCACACAATCTGGAGTTGTGCTTGAGCGTAGTTGACGGCATTAGGCTGACCCTCTATTACATGGGGACTAGAGATGGGCACTGGGAAAAAACCCAAAGGGAAAAAACCCAGGTTTTTTCCAATTTGGGAAAAAACCCGGTTTTTATGTGGGAAAAAACCCAATAGGCGGGTATTTTCATTTATAATGATCTTATTTCATTTTTATTTTCAGAACTAACTAAGAACTAAATTAATAGGTACTTTGTGATGCGTATATACCTACATTCACTCGAAAAAGTATCGGGAATGGATGATTTGTTTATGGTTCCAAATTCAAATTTTTGTTTTTATGTAGTTGTTAGATTGGCACAACTGTTTTCCATATTGGCGCGGAGTTTGAGTTGCATCTGTTATTTATATTAAATACAGCGCTGGTTTCAGAAATATCATATATAATGTATATTGTGAATTTCATAATGGACACAAATATCGATCAAAGAGTTTGTCTTAAATTTTGCATCGCCAATGGAATTTCGTGTTCGGAGTCACTAAAAATGTTACAGAAAGCTTACGGTGAATCGACTTTATCAAAAACTCGTGCTTATGAGTGGTTCAAAGCGTTCAAAAGCGGTCGAGATGTGATGGAAGATTTGCCTCGCTCTGGTCTGCAACTGTAGTTAACATCGCAAAAGTGAAGGAAATAGTGACTGAAAATCCCCATTCAACTCTGAGAGAGATAGCCGCCGAACTTTCTGTATCTCACGAGTCGATCCGTACCATTTTAACTAATCTATACTATACATTAAAGGGTATGAAACATGTTGCTGCTCGACTAGTTCCAAAAGATCTAAATTTTCTCCAAAATCTCAATCGCATGAAAGTCGCTGAGGATATGCTAGAACGAGTCAGTTTGGACCCAACATTCATGAAACGCATTGTTACTGGTGACGAGACGTGGGTTTATGAGTTTGGCATGCAAACTAGTCAACAAGCTTCGGAGTGGCGCCTTCCAACTGAACCGAAACCGAAAAAACCACGCCAAAGTCGATCAAAAGTCAAAGTCATGTTGACTGTTTTCTTTGACTATCGCGCTGTTGTGCACTCTGAATTCTTACCGGAAGGTCTAACGGTAAATAAAGAATATTATTTGAGCTTTATGCGGCGTTGAAGAGAGCAAATTCTACGAAAAAGGCCAGATTTGTGGAAAGAAAATTCTTGGATTTTGCACCACGAGAAAGCGCCTTCGCACAAGGCTATCATTGGTGGCATCAAGGTGAACGAATTTTTGACCAAACACTCAACAAATACCATCCAGCAACCACCATATTCACCAGATATGGCTCCTGCTGACTTTTTTCTTTTTCCTAAACTCAAATTACCACTTCGTGGCACCCGTTTTCAATCGATAGAAGACGTAAAGGAGAATTCGCGGCGAGAACTAAACTCAATTCTGGAAGCAGCGTTTAAAAAATGTTTTGATGAATAGATTATTCGTTGGCGCAAGTGTATCGTCTCTAAAGGAGCATACTTTAACTCGTTGAGTACCGTCATTACAGACAATTAAAGAACAATAGGTTGCGGTCACCGGTGACAGTTTAAACTGTCAAACACCGACCGCTCGGTGTTTGACAGTTTAAAGGTGATAAAGTAAATTTGGATGAATAACAGACATTTTTTGTATTATTGATCTTTTCCCGGTACTTTCTTGACAGAGTAGTACTTAGCACCAGCGTGTATAAGGCACTAGCTGTTGTCTGTTATTTGAAACGTGTAGTCTTTTTCAAGGACTAAAACATAACCAGCATATTTATTATAACACCATAAAGACGTCTTCTTGTTTTATAATAAGTTTTTACTGCGCTCTGTGATGGAATGTTAACAGCAGAAAAAATACCTATTAATCTTTAAAGAATGTTTGACTAAAATAATATAATTAAAACAACGAGAGATACTCTTACTAACAATCATTTATTATACTTTACAAAAGTTACAAAACTGTAAATTTACCGGTAAATTTCGTTCGTAAAAAAGTAGGTATCAAAGTCCGTAAGAGTAGTTGTTGTCAATTGAAAGGATTAGGTAACCAAAAGTCCACCAAACAAAATCCATGTCGTCAATTAAACCAACAAATTAACACGAGTGTGCACAGTATGAAGCCGAAACAACGTGTGAGATAGATAGATCACCAACGCGCTCGCCCCTCTTCTACCTGCTTCCCTGCCCCTCTACCAGCTCACGTATTTTCGGGTTACCTGTCACTAAGAGCGGAGGATCACACACAAATAGACAGGATTTTTGTTTAATTTCATTTTATTTCATTTGATAGTAGGTCCCTAAGGATATTAAGAACGTTATTACTGCAATATGAACATAAACAAACTTAGATTAGCTCTAACTTGTAGTAATAGTTCTTAAATAGTACGTACTATATGATGTGTACATAATCTACACATTACTTATTTGTTACATGTGTTAAATATGAAAAAACCCTTATATATAGAATATTTTCCCATTCGGGAATCTTCCCCGGGTTTTTTCCCGGTTTTTTCCCATATTCGGGTTTTTTCCGGGTAAAATCCCATCTCTAATGGGGACTTACATCTGATTGGAAAAGTAGGTAGGTACTTATTACAAACATTGTTTACATTACCTACTCCTTCAGGAATTAAAAGTTCATTCATCATCATTAGGTTATCTTATAAGCTTTTACTTAAGAAAAAGATAACTTCGTTTTATTATTGTTTATTTAATAAAAAATACAGTATATTACGAAATCAAGCTAAAGGCTAAACACAGTCTAAGTAATATCCCTCCTCATTACTGCAAATAAACTGGTAACAACAAAAGCACTGAACATAGGAAATGTGGACTAATTTTAGCAGCATTGTTTCCTTTGTCATGTAATTCTAATACGTCTAATTGCACTTTTGGTGTACAAGAAAACTCAGTGCTATTCTGGCAAGCACCAACGGTTACATTGAAGAGGGTATCAGGTGGACATAAGACTTTTCTGGCAGTATTTATTCCTAATAGGCCTTCAGGGCAAGCTATGAACGCTGAGCAATCTGAGCTGCCAGGAACAACGAAGTTACCGACAGAACTGCAGTTGAAGGACGGGTAACATTGGTAGTTGGTGGCGTTCGTACATTGATATTCTAAGTGGCTGTAAACGAAGCCTTCTGGGCAATTCAGCTTGTATTGTGTGAAGTTCGTAAGGCCGCCCATCAGACAAATAGTGTAGCCTCGACAGTCACCAGCTCCATCATTTGGAAATCTTCCACGAGCAGTGCAATCAGAGGCTTCGCTCACCCCGTGACATAATCCCTGCAATAAGAGATATTGTTTGTTATCAGTAAAGGTGTGTGTTATCTAGTTTAATACCTTAACACCTTTTCTGGAAAGATAATATGTTTAATGAAAACATGTGAAGGCATTTTGTTTACAGTACCTACGTGGATACGTAAGTACTTACAAACTTATGTATTCCAATTGTCGTTATTTCTGCTTTAGGTATATTATTTTGCTACAGGTACCTTAACTACTTAAGTAGCTGCCTACCAGCCTACTGTTACTTAAACACTATGATGTTTCTTTCTTGTGAACAGGTACCTAATTTCTTAATGTCAATGATCTTAATAGAGTTCTATTATCTGTTTTGATTGAGTACTATCATATTTTTAAAATAACCTATGAGGTAGGTAACCTAGGTAGGAAGATAAAATATACCTAAGTTGAACAATTTTAATTAGGTCAGCACCTCATTTAGCATTCTGGTAAAAAAGAAAAATAAAAATTCACACAATTTTCTCAAATTACAATTAAGGAATTAAAAAAAACTGGTAGGTACTTACAACAAATAATAAAACAACACATAAATATTTCTTATCCATTGTCTTGAATTCACACATAAAAGAAACAAAGGGTCAGTAACACTGTTATGAATTTTCAGTGGAAAAACGAGTTCTATAAAATTATTGTAGTCAATATATAATTCACGAGTGTTCAGTAGTCTCGTGTACTCAGTTTTATGGGTGTAGTGCTCTGTTAAATAGTTGGCAGTAGTTTCCTTCTGTGACCATAATATTAGAGGTGCGAACACATCGATAATAAAAAAAAAACACCTTTTAATTACTTTGATTTTGTAGATTTCGTTGTCCAAGTATTTCGGAAGGTAACTAATGTTAACGTGTGTGGATACACAATCGAAACACCATAGTAGGTACCATTGCAAATTAAAAAGCAAACTCGAGACCATTTGCTGGGCAGTAGATTTTGAGAACACTCAATAAACGAGACCTCTTAAATATGATATGTATTTACAATGCCAACAATAAACTAATGAATACATAAAAGTTATATCTAATTTGTAAGAGGGCTATAAAATCTTTGATTTCTTCATTTAATAGATGTGACATAAAACTTTTTAGTAAGATAGTTTATCTGCATTCCAATGGTTTTATTGCTGGCAATGACTGGAATGTATCTCTGTAAATACCTCTGTTTTTATGCACCTACATATATATATATATTTTTTTTTATTTATTTATCTTTATCTCACACAGGTAAGTATTTTATAATCTAAGCCCCACAAAACCGTTGCAATGGTTTGACTGCGGGGTCGAGTCGCTAGACATTATAATCAAATGTACTTATATTTAAATGTTATACAGGCGTTGAAACTTATACTTACTTATTATTAGGACATTTCTAAATAATATGACTTTAATTTTCGTTTGAACCTATTTGAATTTGTTTCACTCCTTATGTCTGCCGGCAGACTGTTTAATAGATACGGTATTCTCTTTTTTAGTGTTCTATCACCAAAATAGTTGGTGACTCTGGGTACATTGTATCTACCAGCAGCCATAGTTCGTGTGTTATGGTTGTTCTTTACATAAGATAAGTCATGCTCCTGTGTACGGTGGTGGTTAACTAATAATATATATTTATGTTTGTAAGTAATCGGTAGAACTTTGCATATTTTAAATAATTTTCTATAGTCTCCTTTACAGCTGCTTTTAGTTTTTTTAGTAACAAGTAGTTTTAAGAATCTAATCTGGAGAGCTTCTAATTTATCTAAATGTATTTTAAATGTTAACCCATAGCTGTCAAGAGCATAGCTCATGATAGAATCAACCAATGACATATAAATACATCTTAAAACATTAATAGGAACTTTAAAGCTTAGGTGGTACATTTTACTCAATAAAATTCTTAGTTTACTAGAAATATAGTCTACATGTTGTGACCAGGAAAAGTTACTATCTATTTTCACACCAAGGTAGGTTACACAGTTAACTGTTTCAATAGGTTTACATTTACAATCCAGTAAATTATTATGGTGACATGTATAGTCGTGGCTAAATAAGGACGGAATCCCATTATGAGGTTGCAAATATGGCGAACGAATTAACATTAATTTAGTTTTACTTGCGTTTAATATAATGCCATTGTCATGTGACCATTTAACAACAGCGTCTATATCTTGTTGAACTAGCTGACAGACATCATCAATGTTAGTTCCGGAGCGAAGTATGCACAGGTCATCTGCAAACATATAAGCTGAACAATGCTGCAGCACTCGGCACAGGCTGTTAACATGCATAAGGTAACAAATAGGTCCACATCCAGAGCCCTGCGCCACTCCACTCCGTACCTCGACTCTGTCGCTGAGAGCGCCCTCCACCTTTACGCGGTATGAGCGCGAGGTGAGGTAATCACGAAACCAAGGATTTAGTGGTTCGCCCACCCCGCACTCCCCCATTGCATTTAGGATGGTATCGAACTGCAAAGTGTCGAATGCTTTTTTATAATCAAAAAATATTGTAATAACAAATTTTTTATGATCTAAGTAACTATTTATTTCATCTGTAAATTTTGTAAGCAATGTATTTGTACTTTTTCCTTTTAAAAAACCGTGTTGACAGTCATTGATTATATTATTTTTTTGTATGTAGTTACTTAATTGATTGATGATACACTTTTCAATGATTTTATCTATACTAGATAAAATGGAAATAGGTCTGTAGTTTGAAACATTTTTACGATCACCTTTCTTATGAATTGGACGGACTATTGCCTCTTTAAGCTTATTAGGAAATTTGTGGTTTTTGACAGTTAGGTTTATAAGTTTAGCTAAAACGGGGCTTACTTTATCAATGATTATTTTAAGGTCGGACATGCGCACGAGATCGCTTCCCGGTGATTTATTTGCATTCATGTTTTTAATTATGTTTTTGACGTATCTTGGGCTTACTGGTTGCCACCTCATGGACATGTCAGAAGCTTTTACATAAGTCTGCCTATCCAACCAAAGCTCATAACACTTATGTTTTATATCCTCTATTTCTCTATTGAAGGTAGACGCAAAATTATTACTTATGTCAATAATACTGTTTTGTCCATTCATATTTGATAAAATTATTTCATCAACCGATTGCTTACTGTTTCCTAACATCGTATTTATCCTTTCCCATATTTTTTTAATATTTTTATTACACTCTAATATACTTTTTTTATCATATGTATTCTTACTTTTTATAATAGCTTTTTGACATTTATTTCTAAATTTAGTATAATTAAGTCTCTTTAACATATTCTTTGGTTCATTGCTCCATAACTCGAATAACCTATCCTTTTCCTTTATCATACACTTCAATTTGTTGTCAATCCACTTTTTGTTATTCCTGTCACTGTTTGAGATACGTTTATTTACATAGCAGTCATTATAAATATCCACGAATATTTGTTTAAATGCATTATATAATGCAATTGGACACTCTATTGTCATAAGGTGGTCGAAATCAGTATTTAATAATTTATCTCGCTTGCATTAAACACATAATACACAGTGACACAGCCGCGTTGAATGTAGGAGCGCGGGACGTATAAATACGTTGTGCATATGTGAATACCGTAACCGCACTCTATCAACGGCACTTATTTGAAATAGTTCTAAACTTACCCTACGTGACAGTACAGTGTTGGGTATTTTATGTGTTGTGACACAAGATACATTCAAAAGGATTTTTACTTGAACTTTCATCGGAAATGAACGTTCTGCCGTATAATTTAAATGTTATTTGAACGTCATCGTACGTTGTGCCGAATTAACATCTCGAACGATGACGTATAATCTCGTTCTGTCCTCGAACGTGTTAATATATGGTACTTTTATTAAAACAAAGAAACAAAATTTTCGCCACGAAGAGTTAAGAGTTTTATCGACCTCGATGTAAAAATGAAAAGCATAATTTATCGTATGTGTTAATGTGTCTCATCTCTATTTAGTCGAGATAAACATGATAGTACTGTTTGATTTCAGTACTAGTTTATCAAGATGCTTTGCTCATGATGTTATGAACATGTCCTCTCCTAATGGCAGACTTGTTTTGTTAAGGTTCTGAAGATAACAAAGAAATGAGAAACTCTGACGTATACTGCCATGTGGTTTCCGCATATAACTAGCTGACCTACTCATTTAAGATAATATTCATATATTTCAAGTCTATCCTGTATGCAAAAAGTATTTAAACAATAGACCTCGTGATACGGTAGAAATACTTACATAGCAGTTACACTCTGAGACCACTTCTTGACGAACAATTGGTACATTTCACGGAGAACTTAGTCTAAGAAAAAGAATTTGCAGATTTACAAGTTCTTCAGTAGCCACAAAGTTAGTAACTCTTTAGAAAGGATTTTTATTTCTTTTTTTTTTAAACGTTGCCCCACACTAGGACTTTCTCCTGTGTCCTGGGTGCGTTTACAAATATACAAGTTCACATACACATGACACCCAGACCCGGAACAACAATCTGTGGATCACACAAAGAGTTGTTCCGTGCGGGAATTGAAACCGTGACACGTTGCGCGGCAGCCATTTGCCCAACCACCATGCCAACCGTGAAGACATTAGATTACAGAATTTAACACAAAACAATTAAACAAGCTAAAAAATTAAATTAACACTAAATTTACACCCGGATAGAAATGAAGCAAATACTGTACCGACCTGATACTGATCTGGTGGATCGTCTTCTTTCTTTAAATAGCACATAAATGATTATAATAGGCTTGCACCTTCCCGTCTGGAAAATACAATGGTCATTTTTGAGGCAGAATAATTCGTCAAAATCTTCCGAAATGGCTTAATTGGCTAAATTAGTATGATAACACTAATCAACATTGATAAGCTTATGAGTTGAGATCAAGTTTTATTAAACTCGGACCTTGGGAGCCATTTTTGATGCGTAGAGTTAACAAAACCGTTAAAAATTCTGGTTCAATGGTAACAATTGTCCTGCAAAAGTGAATTATCTGTTATCTTCAGGATTAACATTAATCTTATTGGGTGTATTAAGTCTCATTTTGTGGTATAAAAGATGACATTTTGGTATATTTACATCCAGTTAGTCTATTGCAATGATGAAGACTACAATCGGGGTTTTGGCAATCGTTGTAAGTACTTCGGTTTTAAGAGTCAAATTTGAATGTGTGATAATATAACCGCAGTTTTTTTTATGGCCGGTAACGAGCAGACAAATCACCTGATGGTAAGCAATCGGCGTCGCCCACGGACACCAGGAACACTAGAGGCGTTACAAGTGAGTTACCGGCCTTTTGTGGATTAGGAATTCGAGAATTGTTGGGGCTTTGGGGAAGGGGCATAGGGTGAATAGGGCCCTCGGTAACCTCACTCAAATGACGAACCACAACGCAAGCGTTGTTTGACGTCGGTTTTCCGTGAGGAGTGGTATCACTCTGATCCAGCCGGCCCACTTGAGCCGAAGCATGGCTCTCCCACACTTAAAAAGTTGTATTATCACTGTTAAACACGAAGTAGATTCTCAAACGATGTTTTAAAAAATATATTAAGTAAATAAGCTCACTTCATCTTCATCAGCTCGTACTCGTCTCTTGCTAAGAACAGACTTCTCCATCAGTAAGCTTCCTATAACTAAGTTGAACCAAACTTTTTTTTTCCAGGCCTTCTGCTTTGTGTGGCATGTGTACGCTACAGCAAACTGTACAGCCACTGGACCGGGCCGATACGTGGAACCCACTGACACGACATGCAAGAACTATACACTCTGTGTCTACATAACTGCGAATAACACCTATTTGGCGTACAACTACGTGTGTCCTACCACTTCGTTGTTCAATCCCAACTTAGCTCGTTGTACCAGCAACTACACCTGTACTACTAATGCTGGGTAAAGGCTACTAATACACTTTGTACCAAGTAAGCTGTCTTCAAATTACAAGCAATATTATGTTTTAAGTTTAGAAGATTTAAGCCCTGTTTGTCAATGTCTGGATGGCCACTATGTATCATATAAAGAACAATGTACTATCTGTTACATAAGTTTATGGGCTTAAATATGAAGGTGGTAAAACAGGCGTTAAGTATTGAAATCATTATGATGTTGGAATACCTTATGTTGTTGTGGGTACTTGCCAACTAGGTAAATTCAATTATTTTTTCGAACTGTCAAAAACGATAGTTTCCTTTGAATTTTGCACGAGATTGTGTATTGTGACGTCAAGGTTGTTTTGCGTCAAACTGCATACCTACTCATTTCTTTAAAAAAATGCTGGAGAGATACTATAATTAAGTTGGTCATAAAATCAATTAATGAAAGTGTGATTATTTTTTAATTTTTTATTTATTGAACAGTCGAATTAATTTATTTTTGATTAAGGAAAGTACCCAATTATCATTATGTTGTTATTTTAGTGCATATTTTTCTTGTATTAATTTCTTAGATAGTTGTTAAGTATTGTTTAGAATTACATTATTATTATTGTCGTGTGTTATTGTTATGTTATGTTAATATGTATATTGTTATAAAGGCTGTGTGTAATGTGTAGGTCTATAGTTTTCTTAAGAAGTATATTCTCAATGGGAGACAATTGTCTGTTTGTTTTGTTGCTGTATATTTATTACATAGCATTTTTATTATTATGTCGTTGCTTTCATATTATTATGTTGAAGTAGACGTCGATTTCTGTCGGTAAGATAAATTGTTATGTTTATTTGATAAATAAAAATAAAATATATCAAACAGTTCTTTTCAGTTCTTTCAACCCTGATTAGTAAACATTTCCCCATATTTACTTTAAAGTCGAGTATTGGTATTGTAAGTGTACATTTCTGAAGGAAATAAAAGGCTTTTTATTTTTATTTATTTTATTTATTTATTTTATTGGTTACACTATTGACGCAGTGGTTGGACAAACGGCTGCTATGTAACGTGTTGTGGGTTTGAATCTCGCACGGCATAAGACTTTTTGTGACCTAAAAACTACACACTAATTTTTCCCATCTATGTGCAATTAGTATTTGGTATGTATGTAAACGCACCAACAAAACAAACGTACAAAAACTTAACTCTAATTTACTTTTAGATAATGTATGCAAAGATATATTTCTGAGTGACAAACGTTTTATTTCAATGTAGAAGTGAGATTTAAAGTGTTGCAATGTTGCAGGCATCTACATATAATTGGAAATCTAAAAGTTGTCTAAAAGTGCATTTACAACTCATATTACCGATTCTAAATTCCAGAATTGAAAAGCTTTACAAGTTTGTAAAGGGTTTTTTTAATCGGAGAAAATCAATCGATTACTTCTACCACCTGGGTAAGCCGAGGGAGGGGCAATCACTTTCTTACTGACTAATGTAAAAACATTAGTTTGTACCGTGTGTGTCGGTAACGATTTCTGTATTGAAAAAAAGTGATTGCAATTTTAATGCTTTGCTCATCGATTATTACTTTAACTCTGAAAATATCTAACTTATTCAGAAAAGTAGAGGTATATTGTCATTTGTAAGTAGAATCAATAAGTTTTAATTATTAAGCGATTGTGAGTACTAATACAAACCAGATTTGGTTTAATAGTGCAAAAAAATGGTGAAAAACTGTACTGAAATGTAATAATAATTAAATAAAAAAAATATTAAAGATTATTTATTCACTATGTCATTGATACTAGCTATTTACGCACTGCACGTCTGTACTACAATGGTTTACTATAATAAGTACGTTTTATTCTTTCAAACCCTTCTTGTTTATTGTTATGAATAATATTATGTATTTTTATGGAAATCTGGAATTGTTTTCACCGGATCTTTATACATAAACAATTACTTAGTGTTAAATGCTTGTGATTACAAGTGTAAACATATAGTACGATTGTCAAGTCGTATTCGCCGATTATGTACCATTAATATATTAACCACTGCCTAACCCTTCAGGGATAAAAGGCATGACGTAATACATATAAAAATGGTTACAATAAATAGCTCTAGGCTTAAGCAATCTATTTAGTGATTGCACTTCATCACTAAACTGTATGGATTTTCCGTTCCGGTGAATGTTGGTATTTCCATAGATGTGGAAATGTCGGCCCCTATGTACTTCAAATAAATGATCTAACCAGTTATAAGTCTTATCTTAACAGTGTTTGTATATAATTGATGTAACTGCTAATGATTCACTAGTACGTTACTGATGCGTTGATGTTTTAATCAGTAAAATTAGGTTTTCGAGAAAGAGCCTAGTTAAATTAAAATGTTAATATTTTGTTACAAATCTAAAATATTTAGAAACTATGAAATAAAATACTAATGATAGAATACTATGAAATAAAAATAACTAAAACAGCGTCGTATATACTTCAAACAGTTCAACCGTCCAGTCGCGTAGTGGCCCCGTAGAGGCCTCGTAAAATCTTCGTAGGCACCGCGCCGCGTAGTTTATTTGTAGAGACTGCGTAGTATCTGCGTAGGCGCCGCATAGTATCTTCGTAGATGCTATGTAGTATTTTCGTAGGCGCTGCGTAGTATCTTCGTAAGCACTGCGTAGTATCATCGTAGATGCTACTAGTATTTTCCTGCTGCATATACACGCAGCGTGGTATTTTCGTAAACGCCGCAGAGTATCTTCGTGTCAAACAACCCAGTAGCTCTAGATCGATGTAGGAATAAAAAATGCATTTTTGTTCGTAAAAAATGCCACGAACAGCGATTATTAGCCTTTTTCGGACAATATATGGGTAAATACATAGTAAATTTTAGGGTAGGTACGTCATTTGAATGTTTAAGGAAGAAGTTGGATTTGTCATCATGGAGATAAAATACTTGAGTTTAGTCATCTTTAGTGGATTACAACACGTAAACTAATAATGATGGAGATTATCCCACAACGTGGAAACAGGTGGATTAATGTAATTTTACAATTTTCTATATCCATGTTTACAAGCTAGCTAAGGTATATAAGATGAAATTCAGTGCAATTTTATTCACTGTGAAAAAATGGGGAAACAGATCATCATTGTAGTTTTTGTAAGTATTCAATTCGTAAATATTATTTATTTTTGTTTCTGTTGATTTCCAAAACATAATTGAAATGATGAAATGTGTATGTAGGATCAGGGTCCGACATTATTTGAAAATAAAACAAAGGGCTTCACACAATCACTTAGTTTATTTCGATTAAATGAACTTACTTTCACATTAATTTTTAATTATAATAATTGAATAATTCAGCACTGATTATATAAAGGAAACACTCAAATAAAACCAACAATAAAATTACTCAGCGATTGCGTAACGTGTGAACTGGGCAACGATCGACGAACGACTGACTCGAGCTTGCGCTTGCGCTGCTTTATATATCACTCGGTGGTGGGGTTGAAGTGACGTCGGTCAGTTGTTTGTTCACTGCTCGCCCATTACATTCGCAGTTTACAAAATAATGACGGCGGCGCCGACACGGCCATACTGACGTACGCTCGTCCTCGAGCGTTTTCCGAGCATCTGGGAATAAGATAACAACCCGTTCGATCATCCTGGCATTTCTAATCTCTATCTAGTATAACCTTTAACAAAAGCTTTCAATATTGTGCGGGTTCGGTTAACCCTTCAGCTTACCACAACTACTACGTTATCATCACTCATCAGTATTAGAACTGGAGACGATTGTGCTAGGCCGGATAAATATCCCTTTAGCGAATGCTAGACTGGACATCAGTCCCTTTAGCGAATGCTAGACTGGACATCAGTCCCTTTAGCGAATGCTAGACTGGACATCAGTCCCTTTAGCGAATGCTAGACTGGACATCAGTCCCTTTAGCGAATGCTAGACTGGACATCAGTCCCTTTAGCGAATGCTAGACTGGACATCAGTCCCTTTAGCGAATGCTAGACTGGACATCAGTCCCTTTAGCGAATGCTAGACTGGACATCAGTCCCTTTAGCGAATGCTAGACTGGACATCAGTCCCTTTAGCGAATGCTAGACTGGACATCAGTCCCTTTAGCGAATGCTAGACTGGACATCAGTCCCTTTAGCGAATGCTAGACTGGACATCAGTCCCTTTAGCGAATGCTAGACTGGACATCAGTCCCTTTAGCGAATGCTAGACTGGACATCAGTCCCTTTAGCGAATGCTAGACTGGACATCAGTCCCTTTAGCGAATGCTAGACTGGACATCAGTCCCTTTAGCGAATGCTAGACTAGACATCAGTCCCTTTAGCGTATGCTAGACTGGACATCAGTCCCTTTAGCTGAGTCATTGGACCGGATTTTCCCTTCAATGACTCTTTCTTACATTTTTTGTTACTTTTTTTTTACTTTTCTTTTTTACTTTTTTTTTACTTTATTTTTTTTTTTTACTTTTTTTTTCTTTTTTTTTACTTTTTTTTTGTCACTTTTTTTTTCTTCCTTTTTTTTTAAATTTTATAAATAAGTAATCAGTTACAACACTCATTCACTCTGGTAAATCTGATGATGGACTTTCCATACTATTACTAGTACGTGAACTAGCCGATACAGTGCTGCTATTAACAGATATAGTGTCGCTATTAACAGATATAGTGTCGCTATTAACAGATATAGTGTCGCTATTAACAGATATAGTGTCGCTATTAACAGATATAGTGTCGCTATTAACAGATATAGTGTCGCTATTAACAGATATAGTGTCGCTATTAACAGATATAGTGTCGCTATTAACAGATATAGTGTCGCTATTAACAGATATAGTGTCGCTATTAACAGATATAGTGTCGCTATTAACAGATATAGTGTCGCTATTAACAGATATAGTGTCGCTATTAACAGATATAGTGTTGCTATTAACAGATATAGTGTCGCTATTAACAGATATAGTGTCGCTATTAACAGATATAGTGTCGCTATTAACAGATATAGTGTCGCTATTAACAGATATAGTGTCGCTATTAACAGATATAGTGTCGCTATTAACAGATATAGTGTCGCTATTAACAGATATAGTGTCGCTATTAACAGATATAGTGTCGCTATTAACAGATATAGTGTCGCTATTAACAGATATAGTGTCGCTATTAACAGATATAGTGTCGCTATTAACAGATATAGTGTCGCTATTAACAGATATAGTGTCGCTATTAACAGATATAGTGTCGCTATTAACAGATATAGTGTCGCTATTAACAGATATAGTGTCGCTATTAACAGATATAGTGTCGCTATTAACAGATATAGTGTCGCTATTAACAGATATAGTGTCGCTATTAACAGATATAGTGTCGCTATTAACAGATATAGTGTCGCTATCGGAAAGTTCATCCTCAGCATCATCAATCACAGCTATGTCACACAGTATATTATTACCGCGATCAGTTTCATGGACAAAATCACTCTGGCTATCATCCGCCGTCACGTCATCATCATAACTTTCGGCTATTTCTATAAAACCTAATGGACCGCGGGGTACCTCGCGTAAGTTCTCATGGGCAACCTTGTACGTTCGATTAGACCCATTAACGAGTTTCAATTCGTACCTATCGTTTTCTAAGAAATCAGAGATTTTGTAGGGACCTTTATACTTTGGGAATACGTTTACAGTTAAAAGTTTAAAAAGTTACGACGTTTCAGTAGCAAAATCAATAACCAGAAAACTTTTAGACAAACTGACGTTTCACAATCTCACAAGATTATTATTCTACCAAGCAACCCAAAGCATTTAAACTTTACAAGTGATCACGGCTGTGCATAGCCCAGTAACTCACAGCTACTCTTTTCTAACGCGAAACTTACAGGACACAAGAGAACGTGAACGAGAGAGACAAGAAACATCTATCTGCGGAGTATCTCTGGAGGATCGAATCAGAGACAAGATAATCTGACAGATAACCAAACATTTAATCTTACAAACTGAAACTGCATAAAAATCAATACGATACTAACTAACGTCACACAGACCAGTTGCCAACCAGGCAATTCACCAATCAGATGCATTGCCACACAGGCGGTTTGCCACACAGGCGCTTTACCACACAGGCCCATCGCTACATGATCCTCATGAATGCGGTCTGGTGTGTGAAGACCCATAGCCACAAGTTCCTCATGGGTGCGGTGAGAGTACGAGTGCGTGAATATGATGTAAGTGTGGGTATTTTTTTTTTTTGATGGGACAAGCCCGCCACAACCTCCCAAAACCGCTGCAACTCCTGTAAGCCAGGATCTACAGTAGATACAACCATGAAAACACCGGAACATTGAAGTCCGGCGCGTCCCAGGGACATGAGTAACTGTGTTGGTTCCCGCAACGAAGTGAATCAGAAGATATTATAAAAGGAGAAGAAGAAAAAACTATAGTTTCCACTTCCCTCGGTGAATATTACTGCAGGAGACAGAATGAATCAAGCCTGAAGGCACAAAGAAGAGACCGTACAACTGGGTGTAGTTATCTAGGCAGGAAACCAGTGATCAAGGAGCTGGTCTTAAATCCTTGACGCCGGATGTCTCTTTAAACACTTTATCTTTCAATATGTGTTCGATCCACCCAAAAAAAATGAAAAATGAAGTGTGGGTATGTGAGTTATAGGTGTTGAGTGCAACTCATGACATTGACACTTTATAAAATTCTCAAAGAACCTGGTGATCAGATATTCTCCTCATCCTTAGTCCTCAGATCTACTGCATTTCAATTTCATCTGTTACAATTAAATTACTCGACATTTTACGTAACTTATAGGCGCTGCGATCGACATTTTTTGTAAGACGCAATATAATAATGAAATGCAGAGTCTCGTTACTCCGCGTTTTCTCTATTAGACAAAACCCGACTTCACTACATCTGGAATAACCACCGAACAGCCTATCTACTCACTACAACGCACTTAGCGAAAACATATCTCAAGGTCCTTTAAATCAAAATAAATGATCAACAGCCATCAAGATTTTCAAGGTAACCACAATTTATACACTACTCAAGTGTGGATAGTTACTCCAGTGTTTCAGAGTCACAAGTCAGCCACGACTGTAGTTTCATTATATGGACTCGAGTCCCTGCCCCAGTAACGACTATGACTAGCACACACGATATAGTAGAATAAATGAAAAGTTTTACCCTTACAATTACTAACTCACTAGGTACTGAAAGGCCCTAATTATAACAAATCCTAATGGCAAGATCAAGGGAAGCATGTTTCTCATCAGAGTATTCTTAGCGCTTTAACTATTTTCCAACCCAACAATAATCCTAAATGAATGTAGGACTTTAGAGGTCTCTTCAATTCTGACTTTAACTACCAATTATTATTAGCAGCTTTTGACCTTTATTTGTTATAAACTACTTTTCTCAATACTCTGTACCGCGTTAGACAGCAAGCACCACTTAATTCTGCATCTACCTCGCGGAAACCATACCTCCAAGTTCCAACCAAATGAAAGCCTACTACTTGAGATATTACCTAACAATACACAACACAAAGTAACACTATCAGACGTAATTCTAATGACCATGTATAATCTCGGATCTAAAACATCACGGCTATTTTCTTTAAATAACTACCCGACAAAAATAAAATAAAATTTCAAATTGGAAAACTAACAATTGTAAACTCAAGTCTTTGACTCGTTTTTGACCCATATGGTATCGGAATCATAATAAATGGAACAAAGTCACCTGGTATAATCCCGATGGGAGCAGTGTCCAATTGCAGACATCAACACGCCGCTCACCAAACGCTGCGTTAACGCCGCGCAACTTACGCTGTCACTGGACGCCAATGTACTCCGGCTTCAATTAGGACCACGTCATGTCTTCATTTGCTGCTTCAGATAGCGATTCAGTTCGAAGTAGCTGCCTCAACGTTAGCCACGTTGAATCTTCACTACCGAATAGCTAGCTATGTATAGCTAAGCACTTCCAATCTTGCAGCACTATCTTCTTCGTCGCATTTGCATGTAGGTAGTTCTTCACGAACCGGCTCCGATAATTTTAACATTTTCAATAATCCCGGTCCATCCCACTTCTGATGTAGGATCAGGGTCCGACATTATTTGAAAATAAAACAAAGGGCTTCACACAATCACTTAGTTTATTTCGATTAAATGAACTTACTTTCACATTAATTTTTAATTATAATAATTGAATAATTCAGCACTGATTATATAAAGGAAACACTCAAATAAAACCAACAATAAAATTACTCAGCGATTGCGTAACGTGTGAACTGGGCAACGATCGACGAACGACCGACTCGAGCTTGCGCTTGCGCTGCTTTATATATCACTCGGTGGTGGGGTTGAAGTGACGTCGGTCAGTTGTTTGTTCACTGCTCGCCGACATGTATTTTTAAAAACTAGATAGTTAAATTTTATTAGCCTCGAAAACTTGTTTGTCTTAAAGCCTTAAAATACTGACGACTTATTTTATTTGGTGACAAAAAACATGTGTTATCTAAATTTAAGCTTGCCTTAGAATACCATGTTATAATAACATATTATTTCTAGATGTTAAGCGTGTGCGCGTGGCAGGCGCATGCTGTTGTAAACTGCACAGCTACCGGCGCTGGTCGGCAAGCTGACCCGGCCGACACCACATGCAAGAACTATACACTATGCGTCTACGTCAGCTCCAATAACAGCTATGTCTCCTACAACTACGTCTGTCCCACTACCTCCCTCTTCAGCCCCACTCTCGCTCAATGTACGACGACTTACACCTGCCCAGCAACTACCACCAACACCACGAACACAACAACATCAGTTTGCACCGCTGACGGCTTCATCGCAGACCCTAACTCTTCAAACTGCAGCTCCTATATTGAATGCGTCAACATCAATGGATCCTACGTCGAAACGACGTACACTTGTCCAGCTTCAACATTGTACAACCCAAATACGACTCTATGCGATGCTTCTTACAATTGCACTACCACAACTCCTTTCACGTGTACAACAGCTGGAAGGTTTGCTAATACCGCCGATACAACTTGTCAGACTTATTTCTACTGTGTGCTCTTGAGTGATGGAACGTTTACACAGTATAATTACACTTGTCCGTCAACTTCGTTGTTTAATCCGAATTCGAGGTTGTGTACTGCATCTTATACATGCACTAATTGACACTACTCATTACAGATGTCTTTCGTATGAAAATCACTAGAGTGCCTGGTGTGCTATAATTTTGGAGCAATTTCTATTGAATTTTCAAGTGATATTTCATAAATGCACATAATTTTGAGTTTAAACTTTAGGGCACTTCTCCAGCTGTTGGTAGTAATGTAACTTTTAAAGTTGTTTGATGTGTAATTCTTTCTTTTTGTTTAAGGATTTGGTAATATATTAATTTGTTTAAATTATAATAAACTTTTGTCTTTTACTAATCCATCAATGTATTTTGTTCGATTATTCTAGAAAGCAAGGATAAAATATGGATTAAAGTGACACACATAGTGACAGTAATTATATTTTAAGCAACTGTAGACCACTACACACACTTTACTGATTCACTGTCATAATACATTCTAGTTTCTAGTCTAAACACAAATAAAATAAATAGTTCGATTGAATAGATATTTTGACGATCGGCGGCGGTGGGGACGTAATAATCTTAAATGTGATTTACCTAAAGAAAATAATTGTGATGATCTGTTTATTGTCAACATTCGATTGTTTTAATACAATTAATAATGGCCCTTTGTTTGTTTCCCTTACTTCGGAAGTTATAAGGGAGAGTAAGAACATGTACGTACCAGTTTAGTCCTTAGAATTATGTGATGATGATGTCTCACTTCTTTACTGTACTTGTGGTAAGTATTTAATTACTATATTTTGGTGTGTGTATGTGTGAAATAACAGTTTTATTTTGAATATTAAGTTATATTTGAATAGTCCAGTGTATCCATCAATATCTCGACATTCATACGTAATTAATCGATGTGTTCCTAGGTACTATGTGGAGTTGGTTGGGTTCATGCTGCCGTAGACTGCAGAGCAACTGGAGCTGGTCGTTTTGCGGACTTAGCTGACGAGAAATGCAAGAACTACACACTGTGTATCTATGTCAAGGCTACAGACAGTTACCTCGCCTACAACACAGTATGCCCCAGCATATCTGTGTTCAACCCACTGATATCTAAGTGTACTTCTCCAACGAACTACGTCTGCAACATCACCGTCAGTATGCCGAGACCTTCGCCTTCCACCATCTGCACCTCCGACGGCTACATTGCAGATCCCGAACCTACGAATTGTGCTACTTACATACAATGTGTAAAAATCAGAGGGGTTTTTACTCAGTTGAGACATCGATGTCCAGAATATACGTATTACAATCCTAATACGACGTTGTGTGAGTCTAATTACACATGTACGGACTTCAGTTGCGTGGCGCCCGGGAGGGTCGCGGATAAAGCAGACTTCACGTGTCGCAAATATTACTACTGTGTACAGTTATTCAATGGGACTTTTGCTCAGTTCAAGTACACCTGTCCCGCAGATTCAGTGTTTAATCCCATTACTAGACTTTGTACAACACATTATTCGTGCAGTTAGGTTGACTATTGTTCTAGGTTATTGTTATTTAATGCTTGTTAACTATTTCTGGTACTACGAACTTGACAATTTTAAAAACATTTTATAATTTGGACATGCTGAAACTATCCTTTTGTTTGAAAATATTGCGCCTGGTGATTTGGTTTCTAAATAAATAAGGGTTATAATACGTATTGTCTTATTTATTCACTTATTTCTCTACTTGCAGATTATCTAAGATAGCGGATACCTATGTATAGCTTTTATTTTATGTAATCTTATTATAATTACCTAATAGATAAGACTTTCCCGGTGTGAAACAGCACTTGCGTTGTGTTTCGCCGTATGAGTGAGGCTCAGTTTCCTCTCTTCCCAATCTCTCCAATATACCTAAATCCCCAATCCTCAAATCCCTAATCCCAAAAAATGTGGCTACGCATTTGTTACTCCTCTTGAGTTGTGGGCGGCGCCTATTGCTTACCATGAGGTGAACCGTCTATTCTTTTGCCTATCTAATTCATAAAAATGATAACACGGAAACCCTTTCTTAAGCTGTTGATATACTTGATTTATTTACTCATAGGAAAATAAGTCACATAATCTTAATCGTACATGAAGATCACCAGTGAAAGACTGGAATCCACAGCGACTCGAACTTGGCCTGAGTTACAATAAATAATTGTGATATTATAGCTGATTAATCATTAATAGATCACGAATAATTAATAAACAATATTTATAAGTATATCCATAAACTCATACAGGTTTGCTCAGCTACACCTGTAGCAGTGAGCATCCACAGGCCGAAAGTTTACAAACTCTATTGAATCAGAAGCGACTTCAACTTCATATTTTGTCACCCACATCTAAACAAATTAATGTTTTAATGATTACATTGCTCGTAACGAATTATGTTTTTCATTAAAACACTTTCAATTTAACGCTAGTGCATTTGATTATGCACAAACAAGAAAGCAATGTGCCATAAGTAATTTATTACTGAGTAGGTGTAATGTCAATATTTAATACTTAATTACTTAGATTTTGATAACGGTGATAATGTTATTTCCTTTACACAGTCATACTACTCCGTTTGGCTGTGAAGAAATTTAAAAGTTACTTCTAGGACATCTTATTGAAATCAGACACTACCATCTATCTGCTTAAAGATGTGCCAATCATTGTTACCGTTAGTCTGTATTTCAAAACGTTCTTGTTAGCTCAAAATCTTCTTATGTGATTCCAAGGACATTTATTATAGTTCCGCTATTTCTGTACAAGATATTTGGATACAACTACCTATAAACAACAGTAATGATTATAGATAAAACGTTTTCAGCTGGATATACAGTTCATTCAGTGTAAACAGTTGTTTACAAATGATTTAAACATAAAATATGATGTAAAATATTTAGCGTCATGAGTACAATCTTTTTATTAATGCTGTTAACATAATAATACGAGATAACCGCATTATCTCTTGATCTTACTATAAAACCTTCAGTGCTTGAGGAAATAATTTAGAAATTCACGATGCAAAGAAAGTTCACGGTTGCTGTATTTCTCGTGAGTATTTTTTATTGTTCTTGTTAAGTAGCCCTTAGTTGTGTTATTGTTTAGATATATTTATGAGAGACCAGTTTGTTAAGATATAGTTATAATATATCTACAAAGCGGGTTAGAGACTACAACTATCTTTATGGAAACATTTTACTGTTAGTGCATCTATCAAGTGACATCTAATACGATGGCTTGCCTGAGTGTGATGGCTTTTCCTCTATACTGAACAAAACTGTAAGCACTTGAGCTAGTTCATTGTTCCAAATATTTTCTAGAAAAAATAAATTCCAGTTTTGTACCGACTTTACGAACAAAGGGTAAAAGTATTCTGAAAATAATTAGGTACGTTGTGCCTTGGGACGTATGAATCGTGTAACATAAACTTTATTAGACAGATTAATTTCATAGGTGTTAAACACATGAGTAAACACTCTGTAATTATTGTCGTAATACGCTATTTCCTTTCATACATGCCTTTTACCCGTGTGGTGATTAGAGTAAAATATATTCATCATCACTTTTACTTTTCCTGCGGGTACAAATGTTTCACAGAGATCGGGCAACTGCTGCGTTCTCTGATGAACCAAATTCTATTTAACTGCGATCTCCAACCTACTTGACATATGCAGAGATAATGGTAAACACTTCCTTTGTAGAGAATACCCATAATGCAGCCGTGAATCTTCACGGGTTCTTGATGATACACGTCTTTTAATTTCCGTTGATGTAGGCAAAGTTGTAGGGATATATTAAGATGCGGATTGGTAAAATATTAGACATGATTTTAAAGAACCGAGAACCTAATATTACTTTATTTAGCTTAGCAATTTACTTGGCGATTGTGCGCATTAAAATACTCAACGAGAAGGAGAAGCCCTTTTAAAATAAAAGTCAGTTTCTTCATTCTTCATCATAATCTATTCAACATGTTTCAGATCTCCCTCGCAGTATGGAATACATACGCTGCATCTATCCAATCTTCTTCTACTGGCAATACTGAGACATCTTCAGACAAATCAAGTGTATCAAATACAACTGGATACTTAACAAGTGAGGTTTCAGTAACCTCATCAAATTCAGAACAAAGTACAAATACGACTGATGAATCGAACACAAACGATGTATCTACAAAATATTCTGCCAATTTAACAGATGTGAGATTTACTGTAAATAGAGATGAAACAGTTAATACTTCGAATACTGACATTGCCTCTGAAGCTAATACAACAACGATATTATTGACTACCTCTACTTCAGACAGTGGCAATGCAACAAGAACTGAAGATACTTTATCCTCACTAGTGTCTAGTTCCACCAACTCCACAAATTCTACTTCAGCATTGGACATTTCAAACTCGTTAAGAACCACTGATGAATTATATCAAAATGTTGTTAAGACAACAGATGACGGTATGGAAAATTCTACATTAAATTCTATAGCATCATCGAATACAACAACTGGGTATGATACTTTAAGTCACACAAATGAAACTGAAACATTAGATACGATAATTTTAAATACTCTTAATATTACGAATACTACAAATGTTAGTGGTTCATCTAATTCAACATTAGTTACAGATAACTTAATATGGGTGACATCTAATATCACTATTGTGTCAAATTCTTCGTACGATACTGATTCGAAGAATTATCAAAGTTCATTACTTTCAACAGATACAGAGACTTCAGATGCTTTAAATTCTACAACTTCAACAAATGTATCAGATGCAGCTACTTATAACACATCCACCAATAATATGGAGTTTACTAACGTTACATCACTTGGTGATGCTACGGACACATTTACGTCAAATTCTTCAAATGCTGTGAACTTAAGTACCGAATTGAATACCGTCAATTCAAAAAATTCGTCGCAAAGTTCAGATACCACCTATTTCGATACTTTGGATAGTACAAATTCTACAAACATTCTGGCAAATAACAATGCATCAACAGTTATAGACGTTGCAATTTCGTCGTCAATAAATTCTACAAAATCAAAAAATTCTTCGTTTGATGGCGATATCACAACTTCAATAAACTCATTAAGAACTACAAATAATTCAACATCAGAGAGCGCAAATGCAACAAGTTCAACAGATTTTACAGGATATTTAAATGCTCAAAGTACAAAATCAGTGTCAGATACCATTGAAAATACGAACTCTAATGATTCTTCTGAAAGTTCTAGTTCAAAACTAGAATATTCTTTAAACTCCTCATCAGCTTCAAATATTGAAAATTTAGTGAATTCCACTGTGAGTTCAAGCTCATCTTCATCAGACACCTTGAGCCATTCGAATTCATCTATTGTACTAGATTCAACTAATTCCTCCAGTGCAATAGATGTTCAAATTTCATCTGAATCCAATTCTACAACATCAAAAAATACGACTGATGATATAAAAAGTTCAAACCTACAAAACACAGTGAAAACGGCAAGCAATTCTATATCAGATACTGTGAATATAACAAGCTCAACTGATAGTAGTAGCAAAAATAGCTTACGAGCGACAAGACAATCCATAGATTCTTCGGAAAGTATAAATTCAAGTGATTCTGTTAACATTTCTAGTAACAAATCGGAATATCTTATCAATTCCACATCTGCTTCAGAATCTACAAATTCTGTAAATGAGACAGAAACTTCTGATTCCTCAATAATAGAGAGTTCAAATTCTACAAGTTTCTTAAACACTGAAAATGCCGCAAATTCTTCGCATGTCTCTGATTCTTTAGTTTCGTCGTCAGTAAATTCTACAATTTCGGAAGATTTCACATCTGACTCCGTTTTTGCAAACACTTCAAATTCATCCAATGTAAAGGCCACAAGAAAATCAGAAACTGCAAATTACACAGTTTCAACTGACAACACACACTATGATGGTCATTCCAACCAGACGGTGACTAAATATAACACTAATAATACGGAGTCAGGTGATGAAACAGAGTTTTGGCATACAGAATCTATCTATTCTTTAGAATCATCGTCTGTAGAAGATGAAACAAATTCGATAAATTTAAATGAAACTTCCGGCACATCTACACTAAAAATAGTGAAAACATCAAGTTCAAATGACACGGAGGATGTAACCAATTCTACCAATGAAAGTAGTAGTATATCAGCCACATCTAATAACACTAATTTAAAACAATCAACCCTTACAAGAAGGAATATGGGTGACATGTTTGTTTCAAAAAATATTACCGATGTCTTATCTACAGATAAAACTACTGCATTAAATTCAACAGCAACATCAAATTCCTATAACTCTGATTATTCATCGGTTAGTCAAGAGTCTATAAGTTCTATAAGCGATAGTTCAAATATCGTCAACACAATTGATAAACTATCCAACTCAAGCTCCACCCGGACCAGTAGTACGTCATCAAGTACATCAGTGCCCAGCAGTTCAGTTTCAAGTAGTCCAGAAGATGGTTCTGATTCATCAAACTCTAATAGCAGTTCTGTCAACTCTTATGCAACCAAGAATACTACTCGCTCAATGAAGACAAATGACATGGAAACAACATATTCCACTGATGACATCGCTTTCAGGAACGTTACCGAAGTTATAAATGAGGAAACTTCAATAATCACAAATAATCATACTGACACAACAAGTACGGTTGTTACTACAGATGCTTCTGATAATGTGACAATAATAACAATCATAACTAAAAATATGACTGTTACAATAGACGATGATATTACAAATGTTACTGAAATTATTGTCGTAACAAACATAACCAGTACTACAAATACCACTGAAGACATAATTACAAGTGATATTACCGATATAATTACTACCATTATTTCTACCAACACTACAATTGTTACTATTATTATTGATGGTAATGACACCACGTATACTACTACGTCATTACATAGCACTGATGTTATCGAAACAACAGCTGTTGATGATACAAAAGATGACTCAATAATTGCTACATCCAGAAATAGTTCAGATATTACGACTTTAAGAAGGTCATTGGATGTTTCAAATAAAACTATTACAAGTGATTCAACAAATACGACTACTTTATTAACAGTAACTGGAGATGAAATAGACTCTACGAACTCTACTACCGACTCTAATGACTCATCCGAAACGAACACAACTTCCATCTGCACGTCGCAAGGATTCTTACCTGATCCAGATTCTACAAACTGCACGAGTTATATTGAATGCATACAAAATGTCAATGGCGACTTCACTGAGTCAGTGAATACGTGTCCCGATAGCTCTTATTACAATCCTAATACGACCTTATGTGATTTTGATTACCAATGTCCAGATTCGACGGACAGTACCAATTCTTCCGAATCTAATAATTCAAGTGGGGAATCGAATTCAACCGACACTTCAATTTCAACTTTTATCTGCACGACTCAAGGGTATTTTGCTGATCCCGACTCTAATAACTGTACGAGATACTTTGAATGCATTCAGAATACTGATGGTACCTATACTGAAACTGGTTCTGCATGTCCTGATGATTCTTATTATAATCCCAATACGACTTTATGTGATTTTGATTATCAATGTCCAGATTCGACGGACAGTAACAATTCTTCCGAATCAAATGATTCAAGTGGGGAATCGAATTCAACCGACACTTCAAATTCAACTTTTATCTGCACCACTGAAGGGTATTTTGCTGATCCAAACTCTAAAAACTGCACGAGATACTTTGAATGCATTCAAAATAGTGATGGTACCTATACTGAGACTGCGTCTACATGTCCTGATGATTCTTATTACAATTCCATAACAACGTTTTGCGATTTTGAGTATGAATGTCCAGAATCTACGGACAGTACCAATTCTTCTGATACTTCTGATTCAAGTGATGAATCTAATTCAACCGATACTTCAAACCCCACTTCTGTCTGCACGACTCAAGGATTCGTAACAGATCCAGACTCTAAAAATTGTACGAGCTACATCGAATGTATTGAAAATGAGGATGGCAGTTACACGCAGACAGTGTACCCATGCCCGGATAACTCTTATTACAATCCCGATACGACTCTTTGCGATTTCGATTACAAGTGTCCGACAGATTCATCGAATTCTTCATCTAGTTCGTCCGGTAACTTTACATGTACATCAACTGGACGGTTTTCAAATAGCGATGACACTACTTGCCAATCATATTTCAGTTGTGTGTTATTGGCTAATGGGACCTTCGTTTTAAATGAATACAACTGTCCGAATTCTTCATCGTTCGACCCGAGTAAACAATATTGTACAGCGGCGTACACGTGCGGTTCCTAGGTATAAAATTAATTATTATTTAATTTATGTATTTCTATGTTATTCAAACGACTTAATAAATGAAAACAATTGATGTAATTTTATTTGGTACACAAACCTACAACATAAAACATGATAATATATTAAATTTAAATTGGTTACATATTAGAATGTTAAATAATATAATTATAATGTTAGTGCAACCCATTTTTAGAAGACTTTATAAAATCTTTTCAAATATGAAACCTTTAGATAGAACTATAATAAATGAATAGGTTGGAAGACTGAAGTCAATTTCATTGTCTTCAGTTGTAAACATTTCATAATCACAAACACTTAAAATAACTACTTCTCACTTAGATTCACAGCAATCCAGCAATTTATAAAGCTCGTATATTAGACCGAGCAAGATTTGCTTTCATGCATGCACCATCAAAGCAGACTTTGTAAAATATTATTTTAATATGTTGCATGCATCATAACATGTTGTCACATGCTTGTGGTACAAGTGTCGCCTTGTTACGTTTAAAATGTTTCCAAGACAAATCTCTCGCAAAACTATGGAATTTGTGTTTTTTATTAGTCATATTTCTCCTTTTCCTCTTAATTTCCTCTAATATTTTGTCTTTCACTTTCATATCCGATTGAAACTGGGCTTCGTTAATTAATAACATGGCGAATTTCCTTGCAGTTATAAGGTTTTGTTTAAATTTGGCACTTTGGCTTGAAGTTTCATTGTTATTGACTTCCACCATATTGATATAAAGGTTTGACTTGTCTGGTACTAAACTGTGGCTCACGTTAGTCTTTTTTATATTTGCGAAGTATATGCGGAAGTAATTTTCTCTCGCTTTTTTAATATATTCAGAAGTAATCTGGGATTTCTGTTTAAATTTAGCTTTTCTCTCTCCTACAGTAACCGTACTCATGGTGGTATCATAATCTTCCGTAGTTTTCTTATCATCATTCAGAGTGAGCACCTTGAATGGCGTTATATTCTCGCTGTAACGTTTGTGGTTCTCACTATCGAGCTCCGGGAAACTTGTGACCAAATATGTGGATTCATTAATACGTCGCACTTGGTATGTTTTTACACTAATAGAAAATTTTGTGAAACTATTGAATATTAATTGTATAAATAAGATATATCTTGTAATCAAAGAAATCATTAAAAACTATTTCACATTGAGGCTTACGCGTCATTTTGACAAAGGTAGTGGACAATGTCATGGGAATCATAAACAATTAAAAGAATACACAATGTGACCTTCCTAAACTACAAACTTTTCTGTATCAAACCTTTATAACTGTGTAAATAGTAAGTACCAACCACTTGACGCCAAGACGCGTGATACCGTCGCGTGTAAGACGGTAAAAAGTGAATGAAAACCACACAATGGACGTCGAGAGTCAGCTCCCATACCTCGGAATCAAGGTCAAATTTGTCTGGCAAATCATCCAAATACACTTTGCATCTCAACACAACTTTGCAGAGTAAAATAAACTTTACTCACTTGAGCATTAAGATTGCATTCGTTTTAATTGTATTGTACTTAGATCGATCTAAAGAAAGAGTCTGAGATAGTTCCCGATGGTGTTATTGTTTTCATTGCCACCGAGCACACGCTTCTTAATTGCCATTTCCGTAAATGAACAAGAAAGCAATGGAATCGTAAAGGTTGGTAAAAAGTGTTATAACGTTTAGATAAAAAATATCTACTTAGATTTTTGTCATAGGTTGAAAAGGAAAAGAAGGATTGAGGTGAGTAAGAATTTCGGTTTAATCATTCTCGGTATTACTTTTGCTAACTATTCTATGGTATGCTCAACTATTCCTTGAAATCTATATCAGGATATTACGTTGCGATATTGTAATATACTGAACAGACTTAAAATAAAACCTATCAGAGTCAAACAGATCATAGTTTTCGCTCAATTTATTAGTAGAGACAAATCATGAAACTTTGAGAATCCGTTCCCAAGCTAAAAAAAGTCATTGTTTTGTGTGTAATTTCAAGTAATGATTACTGAAATGTATTCGTGGGTGTGTCTCAATTTGTTATAATAAATACATACCTAACGATAACACCATATCCTCAACGTACAGCCACTCCACTCTATTTCTGTTTACTTAGAAGCAATATTGTGATATTGGCTTTCACTCGCATGACTTCTCCAATACAAATCGATCGAAATGTTTTAAATATCTTTGGTTTTGTTTGTAATATAAACGGAGATCTTTAAAAACTTGTTAGCGCAAAGTGCACTTTAATAATGACAATAAATCTAGTCTTATTTTTTAAAGACTGATTGTCTCGATGGCCGAGTGGTCGCAAGTGTGAATGCCGGGCAAGGGGTTTCGGGTTCGATTCCAGGGTCGGGCAAAGTATTACTGGGATTTAAAAAAAAACTCATTAGTAGCACGGAGTCTGGAAATGTGCATATGGAAATAGGCTCACCCCCTATTACATGGGACTCATAACATAAATAGTGAAAAGTGGGTGTTACTTCTGCGTGCACCTCTGCCTACCCCTTCGGGGATAAATGGCGTGATATTATTATTATATTATTTTTTAAATAAAGTGTACCCAATAAGTAACCAGTAATGATGATGCTGTGAAGTCCTGTTTCTGACAAGCTCCTAATACGTGAGGTTTTTTAATCGAAAAGCATATAAAGTTATAAAAAATCTAAGGACTTCTGTTCAGCTGATGAGCAGGAAATCTAGGTTCGTTTTTTATTGGTCCCTTACCACTCGGCATTTGTCTACCATGTCGCCTGATGGTAAGTTCTATTCATAAGCAACCTATTCACTCGAGACTTGAAGACACCCGTCGACACAGTCGTATTCTTCAGGAAAAAACTAATACAAAGAGGTTCATTCCTTGGCAGTAAAGATAACATCAAGTCTTGCTTTTTGGATTACACTTCAAAAGTACTTTTTTTTCATTTCACGCAATAGTCTAAGGCACATTACATCATCAATGATAAATCACAGCCTATAAGTGCCCACTGCTGAGCAAAGCCTCTTCTCACACGGAGAAGGTTTGAGCATTAATCACCACGCTTGCTCAATGCGGGTTGGCACATTACCCTAAGAAGGAATTAAATGCACAAACGATTAGCATTCACATTTACGGCCAGTATACGACTGTTCTATTTTAGTACCCGGTAGCGTAGCTTTAATAGTTACTTTCGAGAGGTCGATCACGTCACCGAGACACCGTCATCGGTCATTCTGTTCAAACACGCACCGTGCTAACCCAAACAATTGAAATAGAAACATCAAGAGATTGCGTGACGTGTTTTCTAAGCGCCTGTAATCAGATACGGTCAATATGTACTAAGTTTAAATTCGCGTGGATTTGTTCAAGACAATTTGTTTGATTTAAAGTTACGTGTGTGTATAAACCTATGTGATGGAGGAGGAGGTTCTATATAGTTGTACAGCACCTTTTTTCTCTTTTTTTAACTCTAATCAGAAGATAAATACGAGTTCCCTTTACTAGGCCATTTTCTACAGGGAAATTTTTCTATCACAAATATTACTTAAGTTGGATAAGTGCAATATAATTCAGATTTCCTATTTTTCTCAGCCACGTTACAATAAAAGCACAACTTCTGCACTTCTATTGAATGTTTTTTCAAAACATTTTATTAGCAATTGGCAATAGCAATATTTCTATTGAATCCTGAATTTTTCTAAACGGACAATACTTAAGGTTGTAATTGATGCCATATAATCAATTATTTATTAGTGAGTTAACTGTTATGTTATCACAACATAGTATAAAACAAAGTCGCTATCCGCCATCTGTCTGTCCCTATGTATGCTTAGATCTTTAAGACTACGCAACGGAATTTGATGCGGTTTTTTGTAATAGATAGAGTGATTTTTAAGGAAGGATGATATGTATAATACATGCATATTTGCACCCGTGCGAAGCCGGGCGGGTTGCTAGTATCATGATATAACCAAAATTATCCGAGAGATCCGGGTGTTTTTCCTACATCTTTATATCGCTTCTTAAGTAACAGAATTCGCTTTATCCGTGTACATTGTCACAGCCATGTTTCTTGCTTGTATGCCTTCCTGATTACTAACGATGTCACGCACTACGAGATTGCAGCGTGATTTACGTAATACAGGTATAAAGTTGCATCGTGTACCCAGAATCTAACACTTTATTGCGCCATAGTAATATCGTATGGAGCTTTGTTCTATTTACATAAGTTATATTAGTTTTGGAAAACCCATCGCATTAAGAAAATTTGACTTAGCTATCCATACAACAAATACCGAGAAATTCGACGCAATATGCAACTTGTTTAGCAGTTTTTCCAGAAAAAATTAGATTGAAGCAGACTAGTAATGGGTATATAGGTACCGTTTGTTTGTGTTTCCTACCTAATACTTACTAGGCGTTACGTGTTTTCTTTATTATCCTGTTTAAATAATTTACGTTTTGTTTGTTGTATGTACAAAACGTAATACATCAAGAGTGATTGAACATTTTTCTATAACCTGAAAAATTATTACGTGAATAACATAAAGAAAGGTTTTACACAATGTTACGTACACTGAATAATGAAAAAAGCTTGGCCATGTGTATACATTATGCAGTACATTGCACAAAATCAAAGAATGCAGAAACATATTGGTATCCAAGTAAAAGTTCGCTCATATTCCACTCATGCGCCGTCTCGGCCGTTATTTGCGAAAGCCGCTCGCTTTGTAAATAAAGCGCGTAGTTGCTCTTCGAAATTTAACAATTTCACTGAATAACATCGAGTATCTTAGAATACTAAGTAATTATATGTTTCGTAACTTTTTAAAGTGGTGAGTAACATATTCAATTTTCATTTATTACCAAATGAAGTTTCGATTAAGTATGAGCAAAAATTTTCTCTAAGATGCTTTGGTTCTTTGTAAGGAATCGATACATACATAACATCATGTCTTTTATCCCCGAAGGGGTAGGCAGAAGTGCACATTACGGTACTTAATGTCACTGTAAATTGTACAATGGAACACCCACTTTTCATTATTTATATTCTGAGTCCCATGTAATAGGGGGTGAGGCTTTTGCTATATACCGGGCACAAATCCAGATTCCATGCTACTTCTGAGATTAAAAAAAACCCAGTAATATTTGCCCGACCCGGTAATTGAATCCGAGACTCTGCCCGGTAGTCGCATTTGCGACCACTCGGCCAAAGAGACAGTCAGGATTCGATACTATTATAAAATTTAATATAACAATGCTCTATTTGGGCCAACAAAAGATGATTTTAGTACCAAGTTGTGTTCTCTTTCTTCAACCGCAGAAAAGACTTAGAAATGTTATTTCATTTTCTGTACATGAAAATTCTTTTGGTCGTTTATCGACAACACTTAACAGACTTTTAAATATACTGATTTCAAAGTGTCCTTAAATGGAGGCATTAGGTGTGGGTGGTAAAGAATCCACTTAAAATAGGTTCATTGTCATCTAGAGTGCTTCTTAAGTAGGTACAACTTCAAAATGATTGTCACAGCTTTCTGTCTACTATTAACTAGCAATCC